TTTTTTTGAAAAGCTTTGCAATAGATCACAAGCATGGGGAAAAAGATGAGTTATGAGTTATCATGTGAATATGGCAATGGTGTGAACTTATGAAGAATGAGCTTCTCATTTGAAAAAAAAAGGATGCTTTGGTTTTAGTTCAATAGTATATATATATATATATATTCATTCACTCAGTTATTTTTAATTACCAATTTTTATTTTACTATATATTTTTACATCACATCGGTTTTAATTATTACATTTTAACTCATCGTATTCATTTACAAACTCAAAGTCAAATCAAAATTGCATATATACTTCTTTTTACATGCTTCTTTTAACGGAGTTTTGTGTCCAAGAAACTGGCATATATACGCAATGTGATGACGGTTTTTTTTTTTTTTTATTATTTAAATGAAAAGAAACTAACATTTTCTTTAATTGAATTTATTTTATATATGTACCACTTAATTGATAAAAAACTAGGTGAATCTCTTTGAAACACTTGGGCCTGCTTTGTCCCAGAGGTTGCTTATGGGTTTTGTGGGCTTCGGATAGTTGAGGCCCAACACAATACCAGAAACGTAACAACTGTTTCGATCTTGGTTGTGAATTGTGATTAGGTTATAAATATGATCTGCCTTTACTAGTGTATTGAGTATTGACTATTGAATGGTAAAAAAATTTAATGAATGAAGATTAATATATAATTAGGTATAAACAAATATTTAAAAGTAAAATAATTATGGGCTATGTATGTTCATAAAAGCCTAGCTAAGGTGTGCCCAACCCCACCATTTTTTGATTTTCTGGTAAAAGTTATCACCCTTAATACTTTTCTTTTTTTTAATAAAATTCCTTATAAAAAAACGTTAGTTAAACATTAAAAAAAACTAATAATATCCTTTTACAACTATCATAAATTAAATGTGTGGGAGATAATAGCTAGGGGAAATGCTACGGTCCCGTTACGGAACCACTCCTCGGGTTTGTAACCACATTATGTAACCGTTGGACATAACGATTACAAATTTTGACGGAATAGTTACACAACGGGATCGTAGCATATCTCAATAGTTATTACCTAATTTACATTTCTATTAGTTAGCCTTAGCCCTATTTATGTTAATACAATAAATTTAGGGCATTACTATTTACCGCCCCCTTTATTACTACTCACCACCCTCCTTGGACGTTTTTGCCGTTCAGTACTCTCTTCTCTACTCTCTCTCTCTACTTTTTTCCGTTCGACTTTAAACGGCTCTTTTAACCGTTAAAACCAAAAAAAAATACCATGACATCGGCAAAACATTGAAGATTGACCATGTATTTTTTTTTTTTTTTTTACTTTATAAATAATTTTTAATTTTTTTTTTTAATTTTTTTTTGCGTGTCCGGCCGACCGGTGGGACGCGCTCGGTCGCGTCCAAACGGACGGGCCGGACGCAACCGTCGCTTCCAACCGGCCTGGGCCGCCTGGCCGGACACAACCGTGTGCGTCCGGCCCATCTGGTTGGACGCGACCGTGCGCGTCCCATCGGTTTGGCCGGACGAGAAAAAAAAATAAAAATAAAAAATTAAAAAATTATTTATAAAGTAAAAAAATATAAAAAAAAAATACATGGTCAATCTTCAATGTCTTGCTGATATCCTGGTATTTTTTTGACATTTTCTCGAAATTTTTTGAACGGTCAAAAGAGCCGTAAAAAATCGAGAAGGTGAGAGTAGAGAGATAGAGAGTAAGAGAGAGAGAGAGAAAGAAAAAATTGTAATTAAAGGGGTTGGTGAATGGTGAGTAGTAAAAGGGAGTAGTAAATGGAATTTCGTAGGAATGGAATGAACAGAAGAATGGAATGATTATGGGAATGGAATGAAACAAGTTTTGTCATTGATGTGTTTGGTATGCAGAAGGAATAAGACCTGAATGAAATGACATTATCATTTTTTATTATAAAAATAAATAAAAGGTTTTTTTCAAAAAAAAATATTTTTTTAATAAATTATATATAAATGATTTTTTTAAATTATATGTAAAAATAAAATAATATTTTTTTAATAATATAAAAATAATATATTTTAAAAAATATACAAAAATAAAATAATATATTTTTCAATTATAAATAAAAATAATATATTCTTAAAAGTAATATATTTTTAAATATAATAGATAATATATTTTTATAATATATATTTTTATTTTTTAATTAAACAATAAATAAAAGTAAGTTTTGAATTTTTTTATTTGAATTTTATTTTTCAAAATAATATATTTTTAATAATTTATAAAAATAAAAATTAATTTATTTTTAATAATATATATTTTTAATATTTTTTAATACTATATTTTTAATAATATATTTTTAATAATATATAAAAAATAATATATTTAATTATATATAAATGTTTTTTTAGTTTTATTTTTATATAAGTATTTAATATATCTAATAAACAATAAATAAAAGTAAATTTTCAATTTTTTATTTGAATTTTATTTTATAAAATAATTTTATTTAATATATTTTAATCATGATTTATAATATATATTATATATTTATTTATTATTATTTTTTGTTAATTTTATTTTTTGAAAAATTGATTCCTACAGAAATGGGAATGAGAAAACCTTCCATGAACTAAGGAATGCTAATCCCATGGAGATGGGTTTTGTCATTCTCATTGGAATGGTAATTCCTTTAAAAAATGTATACCAATCATAAGAAAGGGAATGAGTGAAGGAATGATCATTCCATCCCATGCCATTCCTTCATACCAATCGTGCCCTAAATTTATTGAGGTGCATTTCACGTGATTCTACATTTTAGTTAAATCACGATAGGGGCACCGGCATTACACGTGGCAAAATCATGTCCCTTGAAAGATCATATTCAAGAATCTTCTCTCCACATTCATTTGAGCTGTTACCACTGAAAATTTTTGCACAGATCCCCTTCTCTTTTTCTCTGTTGCTCGCACACAGTCTATTTGAAAGTAATTTCGTCTGATAATCTTTGGCAAAAAAAAAAACCTGAGCCCGAGATGGCGGATGATCACAAGGAAGAGGAGAAAAATGAAGAGTCTTTGATGGAGAAGATCGTCGACAAGATCCACGGCGGCAGTTCATCGTCTTCGTCGTCGTCGTCGGATTCTGAGGATGATAAGACGTCGTCGTTTAAGGCCAAGGTCTCCCGACTCTTCGGGAGGGAGAAGCCTGTTCATAGGGTCCTCGGTGGTGGCAAACGTAAGCTCTCTTTGAAAGTTTCAATCTTTGTGTTACCACCGATTAACCGGTAACATAATCTCTGTGAAATCATCTGTCTGTATTGGGTTTTAAGATTCGTTGGGGGTGTTGATGGGTTGAATTCTGTGACCGAATTGATTTAATTATATTTATTGATATGCTCTGTTGTGAATGGTATTTCGAGGTTCTTATATACAAACAATAACAATAACATACCCAGTATATTCCCAATTGGTTGGGGTCTGGGGGTAAGTTGTATGCAGACCTTACCCTTGTAATTATACAAGGAGGCTGTTTCCGTAGCGACCTAAGGTGCAATGCGTCGATTGACATATTTTTTTTCTAGAAACTTCACTAATAGAAGAAGCACTAGAATTTAATTGAGCCATTTCGAGGTTCTTATATGGGTTCTTGAAAATATTATTTGAAATCTGTTTGGGATGTGATTATGTAGATTATCTCAATTTTGTTTTTGAGATGTCTTTGAGTAGATTGTCCTCCCTTTATCCCTTTTGTTGTTTTAATCATTAGAAGTTGTTCTCTTTTTCTCCTCATGAACTGTGTTAAAGTTTATATGTAATTAAAACTAAGCAAAAGTGCTTTTATGTTATCACTGACAAGTTAACATGTTTTGATGATTAGCTGCTGATGTGTTTTTATGGAGGGATAAGAAGGTCTCGGCAGGATTGTTTGGTTTGGCCACCTTAATCTGGGTTCTTTTTGATGTCCTTGAATACCATTTGCTCAGTTTCATCTGCTACAGTTTGATCCTGGTGTTAACTGTTCTGTTCTTGTGGTCAAATGCCTCCTCATTCATCCACAAGTGAGTTTGCACAATCGGGGTTTTATTTTTTTCTCATTATTATTAGCCTTGTCAGTGTCTTAATTAGTTTAAAGATTTGTTTCTCTGTTTTTGTTGGTAGATCTCGTCCAAGAATCCCGGAAGTGAGTATCCCTGAAAAGCCATTGCTCGAATTTGCCTCTGCTTTGAGGACTGAAATCAATCGTGGGTTTGCAGTTCTGAGGGATATTGCATCCGGACGGGATGTGAAGAAATTTCTCTCTGTATGTAATTTGCGCGTTTTTTAATTTTAAACTCGTTTGTGTTTTCCAACATTTCCCTATTTCGGATTGTTAGCCCTTTCAATGAGGAGTTTCGTTTTCATGTTAGCTGCAAATTACTTAAAGGATCCAACTTCGATTGTCAATTTCATTTGTTGCGCCCGTTAGTTTCGTTTTTATTCTCAAAATGCTATATTTTGTTAGTTAAGACTTATTGAAAGGTAGAGATATTAATGAAATCACGGCTTCTTATGCAGGTCATTGCTGGCTTGTGGGTTTTGTCAGTCGTGGGAGGTTTCACCGACTTTCTGACTCTTCTGTATACAAGTAAATGTCAAATTCACGAAATAACATGGTGAAAATTTACCTTCTTTCCATCATCTTTTGCCCGATTTGCAACATGATCATCGATTTTCTTGAAACAGTTACCGTGCTGCTGTTCACCGTGCCTATCTTTTACGAGAAGTATGAAGACCAAGTGGACTCTTTTGCTGAGAAGACACTAGCTGAGCTCAAGAAACAGTATGCCGTATTCGATGCTAAAGTTCTGAGCAAGATCCCTAGAGGACCATTGAAAGGCAAAAAATGGGAATAAGTTTGTCGAGTGTGTGTTACTATATATATATTTTACTACATACTCGACCTCTGAATGTTTATAAGGATTTTCTTTGTTGTTGGCTATGGTGAATTGCTCTATAATGGCATGTTTCTAGTCTTACATTGAATTCAGAATGGTGTGGTTGGAATGATTTGGACTTCTGTAATTGACATCTTTTTAAAGGTTGTCTCTGGTTTGTTTGGTAGTGTATTTTTTTTTTGTTGCTAAAGTATTGTGAAGAATACTGTTATTGCCCCTGCTCCCCTATCTATGATGGACATATGTTAATATGTCCACCGCTTATATGGCATGCACACATTGGTGATGTTAATATGCTCAAAAAATAAATCACTAATGTGTACATGCCACATAAGTCGTGGGCATATTAACATGTGCCCACCGTGGGTAGGGGAGCATTACTCGTTATTGCCCTAAGACGAAAACCTCTTATATATTCTAATAAGATGAGGTAGAGATAATAAAATATATTCTAATAAGATGAGGTAGAGATAATAAAGGCAGTAACTTTCAACTTGAAAAGATGTTATTCAGTTTTTGTAGTCTTATACCAAGTTTGTTTCTTTCAATTTTCTTCAAATTCTGTAATTGTATGGCTTAGGGAAAATATTCCTTTATTTTTTGTGTAGGTGAAATTAAAGGGAACATGGTACCATTTTGTCAATCTCATCTTTATAATTATTCTAACCTTGAAAATTAATATATATGGCTTGCTTGGATATAGATATATTGAGGTTGGATAGTTTTTTTTTTTTTTCTTTTTAACTCGAATTAATTTTGAAAAAGTTAGATTTGATTGGTTTTTACAGAGATTTTGAGTTAGTATTAAAATAATATTTAAATTATAATAATTAAAATTAAATTAATATTATTTAAAATAATATTAACTTGATATTATTTAATTATATTAATAATATTGAAGATAGTGACATAATGCTGAGTTAGGGTTGAATTTTTTTTTCTTTTTGAATATATCTACTAGTGTATATCATATGTAGGAGTTCATGTTTTTAAACATTTTTTAGATTTTATTTTAAATATAAAGAATTATATTTTTTACAACTCATCTCATTATAGAAAATAAAATAAATATGAACAGTGAAGACATTTCTCTTTATATAAATCCGTTTAGGATCTTTTTTCTTGAAATGTTTGAATTTAAAAATCTAATACATAATTTAGATTATATCACATAAGGAAAAAAATAAATAATTTATATATATTAAAATATGTAATTTTGAGTTCAAGGTATGATAATTCAAATTTATTTTTAAATTTTTTATAAAATAATTAATATTTTAGTTATGTCCGTAAGAATAATCGTATAATTAATTAAATAAAATATTATATTAATTATATCTTAAAATATCTGATTACTTACATACAATATTTTGTAATTTATAATTACTTTGCTATTGATTTGTGATAATTAATATATAATTATAAGTACATTTGAATTTAGGTGTCAATAAATATAGAACGCTATAATTTTTTTTCATATATTTCTTTTTCTTTTTAGTTATAAATATAAAATTTCAAATAAAGTAAAAATATTTGAACGTAAGTTTTAACTGATCTATTTATAAAGTTCATCCTATTTAGGAATATATAATTATAGATATGCGTGGGGTAAGGGAAAAAAAAATAGCAAATAATGGAAACAAAAAATGTTTTGAGTTCATTTTTTTCTTATTGCGAAAAATGAGTTTTGTTTCCATTATTAAAGCAAATATCCATCCATACAACAACAGGTTTCAACACACTCCAATCATCCCATGAAACAAAGTTTGAGTTTCAGAGTGAGAGTGGGAGAGCAACAGGCTAATAGCACAACAACAACAAGAACAACAAATGCAAAGCAAGAAACTCTATCACACTAAAAAATATAACCCGACTACGAAAGCTATCTCCTTACTAAGTTCGAGACTTTCAGTCTCGATTGGCATTTTCTTTATAAGGGGGCTCAAATCTTACAAGAAGTAAGACAGCTGTTCCTTCTTCCTCGAACCACCTTCACCGAATGACTCATTCCATTGCTTTAGCTCGTTCATTATGGACCCTTCGGCTGCGAAGCTAGCTGCAACCTGTGGGGGTTTTCAAACACATGAAAATAAAACAAATCAGAGTCGTGTTTATTCAATTTCACATAATGCGTGCTAAGATGGAATGTGTTGACCGACGTGTTTATTGCTTTTCATTTAGTGTTTGCTACACAATTTGATAATAACTTTCTATATATAGAGAAAAAAACGCGAAAATTTTCACCTGATTTTTCGCTTCCTTTAAATCCTCCATGTTCAATGGCCTAATAGTGATCACCCTTTCTTTCTTATCAGCACTTTTTCCATTATCATTCCCTTCCTCCCCCTTCCCACCTTTCTGCTTCTTTTCCTGGTTAAAAATGTAATAATGCAAATTAAATGCAAATAAGCGACAAAGAGCATTGATATATTCTGAATTTTTTAATGTTTAAAATTTAAATACCTATAAGGAAGTTTTATGCTCACCTTATCTTTCAAACTCTCTTGCTGTATTAATTCTCTAACTGGTCGGTAAGCAGCAGTTATGCACAAGTTCTATTCACAGATATTGCCGTTAAACATTGAAAGATAATTCAACATATATAAATCTACAGAAAGCAGAAGGAAGAAAAAAAAAAAAAAGGCAGGCCACCTTAAGATCACTTCCACTATATCCTTCAGTCATTCTTGCAAGCTCGGTAAAGTCTAATCCTTCCTCAACGTTCTCTTTAGACAATAACGTCCTCAAGATCTTCTCTCTGTTCTCAACAGATGGCAACCCAACCATAATTCTGCATTTGAAAAAAAAAAAGAAATTAAATTCAACTCAATTCCACAAACTAAACAGAAAACTCCACTTCATGTAGGAATCAATGGAAGCTAAAACTCAATTTTACTTGCCTTCTCTCAAAGCGCCTAATAATTGCCTCATCAAGATCAAACGGCCTATTGGTGGCTGCAAGAACGAGTATCCTCTCCCCAGGTTTCGACAGTAACCCGTCCCAATGAGTCATGAACTCGTTCTTTATCTTGCGCATGGCCTCATGCTCGCCTGCCCTATTCCTCTGCCCGAGCATGCTATCAACCTCATCCACAAATATTATGGTTGGGGAGACTTTTGCCGCAACACTGAACAAGGCTCGTACGTTCTTCTCATCCTCACCAAACCATTTGGAAGTGATGGTGGACATCGAGACGTTGATGAAGCTGGCCCCAGCCTCGTTGGCAATAGCCTTGGCCAGCATGGTTTTCCCAGTGCCGGGTGGCCCGAAAAGCAGTATTCCCCTGCAAGGCTTCAGAAGCCCGCCTTTAAAGAGGTCGGGTCTCCTGAGGGGTAAGAGAATCAGTTCTTGAAGAGATTCTTTGATATCGTCCAGAGCGCCTATGTCAGCAAATGTCACACCGATTTCCTTAGCTGGGATGACTTCTGGACGGATTCGCTTTTCGAACTCGTTATCCGGAGTCACCTGATTGGTGCAATGAAAGAAACAAAAGGAGAAAAGGAAAAATGTGGTGTGAACAAAAATTTAGCAATCGTAAAGAAAAAAACATATGGAGAAACTCGAAATGTATGAAAACTGACTAATAAGCCTTACAGGAGTTTTTGGGGGCTCGTCAGTCTTGCTTTCAGATGCATCGGTTTTCTCAGGCCTTCCCGAATCTTCTACCTGTGATGGTTGAATCAAACAATCCCATAAATATTTTTCAACCCATTCTTCTTAGCTCTGCAATATTTTAGAACATGAATTCTGACTAACCTACCTTTGGCATTTCACCTTGTACTTCAAGCTTTAGGGTGTCTTCTTGAGCAGATTTAAATTTACCTTTCTGGAATATACTCAAGCCATGGGACAGGCTAATTCAAAAAACAAAAAAATGTTAAGCACATTTTGATAAAATTCACCTGGTACGAGTGTGAGGGGGGGAACCTACCTAGTCGAGGATATAACAAGTTTCCCATTTCTGTACTGAGGTTCCCGGCAATTTGTAAGATGGTAAGTGATGGCAGATACCACAATTTCTTCTATGTTGGTGCTAAGAACGTTCGTGTCTGGAAAACAGAGAGAACCGAGATCATCACAATCAAGGTCATTGGCAGCAAGTACTTCCATTATATGATTTTTGTTGTCCTGAAATTGAATCATTTTCATGTCATCCTCTAGCTGAGACTTCCAGCTCACGAGATGGTTCTCCTCCACCGGAGGTTTTATTTCAATGTTGTACGGGAACACCGCAGAGATTTTTTCATCTACTAAATTGTAATCATTTTCAGGGCCGACTATCCTGGAACCGAGGATCAGTATTGGTCCAGACAACCTCTTCAACATTTTCTGGAACATCACGTAAACCCTCTGAGATTTGCCGAGGAGTTTCTCGACGTCCCTAAGATACAGTATAACAGGATGGATTTTTGATTCTTTGGCCAGAACCTGCATATAATTTAAAAAAGTAATTTCTGTCAGTAGAAAACCTTTAAACATTTGACTAAGAATTAGGCACTACACCCACATCAATGAAAATCATACCTTGTATAGAGTCTGTATAAAAAGCTTTTCATCAAATGACCAACTGCTTTCACGCTTCAGTTGAACTGAAAATTTGGATTCATGGGTCAGAAAAAGGCATGGGATAGAATACATTGGGGAAAAATCTTACCTACAGCTAACTATTGATGTCTTCCAATAACTTCTATCTTCTATATATTTTATGTATCGTGCCCAAATATATCTTTCTTCTCGAAACTTGTTTATACGTAGATTTAATTTTTTACAATACAATCAAAAAATTGTTCAGCTCTGGATCTTTAGAAACCAGTGCAAACATCAACACTGTAATTCTTTAACATTTAAACAATACTTAATTGTTCGGTTCAAAACCTGAAGTTGCAGGAGTGCTTGCTGAAGGAAAAGCAAGATCATTGATGTTAGCCGAGGCAGACGCATTTCGACGCAGCTTCTCCGGATTCAAGCCTTCATAACCACTGCAAAACTAAAAGTATGATATGACTGAAATTTTATATAAAAAATAGTAATAACATGTATAGAACAGACAATACGCACATTGATCCGAGATCCACTCCGCTGCTTTGTCTGCGTATTCCTGTAACAAAATTGAAGTATCTTTTTTACAAGAGAACTAATTGCAAATATGGGGAGATTATATTCATACACATGAAAAAGAAAAGAGCAGGGCATTGATTACCCAATTATAAGTAAAATAATGACATGCAGGGCCAACTAAATCCATAAATTGACATCTTCTGCACACAGTCCCAAAAATGTATGACCTTCTACTCTACCTATGTATATACTAACAAACAAGCTGATAATACTCTATAATACATATTCCGTCACAATTAGAAAATAAACAAAAAAAAGAAAAATGCATGTTGCATCCTTCGATACCTTTATTTTCTTCCTTGGGCTGAAGCATGGAGAAAGAGCCAAATAATTCCGACATTCGGCCCAGTGTTGATTCAGATATAGACCTTTTAAAAGACTGTAAAGGATATGTTAGCAGCAGAACATAATGCAATGTAATTCGCAATTTGTGAGAAACCGTATTGAACTTACTGTTTCTTTAGACGATCCATACTTGCTCTGAATCTGTTTAAACAAACAACTCCAGGACTCAGTAAAAGCATATATAAATACAAACCACTGTTTTCAGCGACTGCATCGGATACAAGAATCTATATTACTTCTCAACCCACCTTCAAAGAAAAATCATTCACGTCCAACAACAGCAATTCGGCTCCAAAATAGTGAGCTAAAGCCTTCGCAAGCATTTGCTGATACAGTTCTGCAAAACAAGACACGAAACACTCAGATGCACACACGACATGCTCGAAAAGAAGAAATACCTACTCAAAATTATCGACAAGCCTTCCAAAAGAGCATAAGAAATGTAAGAAACGGGGAGAAAACGGTGCGGTCCCACGCACGTGAAGCGCACCATAAGCAAGGAAAGCCCAGATGAAGTTCCATCCCAAAACCAATTGGTGGAAGGAGGAGTAGCCCACTAGACTTATAAATTAGGTATCTAAACGATGTGGGACAACTCACAAGTGAATATTCTAATAAGAAACTTACCAGCAGGACCGGATAGCAAAATCGTTCGGCTTGCAGGAGACAGATTCCGTGTGTGCTTAATGATATCACCTTTCTTCAGATGGACAAAAGCAGCACTAGATAACAGCACCCTAGTTTGTTCACTGACATTATGAAGAAGTAAATGACTTTAGCCTTACCATAATACATGTTTCAGAGTTTAAAAATGAAAGAAAAAAAAAGAAAGAAACAAAATAAAAGCAATCTTACAGCTACAGGTACAACTTGGTTACGATCATGATAAATTGTTCAATACTTCAATACAAGGAAAGATAATTAACACACTTCTCGGAAGGCATAGTACGAACTCACTATTGAACACATTTCCTTGCTTCAAACAATAAGAAATTTGCACATAGAACGATTGAAAGCGTAATAGCAGTAAGCTTCAAACAACAAAAATATGCAGATAGAATGATTTCTGTTCATGGTAATTTACCTCAGATAGTATGGAAATTGATCGAAGGTGACTTTGCTATCCTTTCCGTTGACGATGAGAGCCAACATCTCCTGCTCCATCGCCGTCGACGTGACGCCGGCGGACGAGGGAACGCCGCCGGTCCATTTCCCGACGGTCTGCCCCGACGCCAACCCAATCCCCACCCCAACCCCTATCCCCACTCCCAACGCCGACATGATCACACTCTTCGATTCCATTTCTTCTTCTTCTTATCACAAAATATGCTCGGAAAAAAAAAACTAGAAAAAGGAAAATTCGAAACGAACAACCTGATCTGAAAGGTCCCGGACTCCGGAGCTTTTACAACGTGAAATTTTCGCGGCGGTACACGGCGGTGGCGG